TAATGGACAAAAGTACAAGCAATTCATCAATAATGAAGGTGCTACAAAACTTGGAATCTGCCCCAAAAATAGAAATCCAACCCAAGAGACTTTTTCTCTCTCTCCCTCTTTCCGCCTCCTTTCATCTATCAAATTTCTGCAACCTCTGCTCTTCTCCAATGGAGCTGAATTTTGGACACCCTATAGTTTTTGAGCATATGAAACAACTTTCAAGAAGGAACCATTTCTGTTTGAGCGACGGCAAATTAAAGTGTTGAAGCTCCAAACATGACAGTCGGATTCTTGCAGATTTCGAAGCTGCTATGATGTGTTTCGAAGATCTGGAAATATTTAACCATTAGTTCATTCTGAATTTTTGATATGTTATGAAAGAGACGATGAGGCACAACTTCAATGAAGAAAGCATGCTGATCTGAACAATAGAAAATGGAGTTTCGAAGCTCACAACAAATCTGACGGGTTGACAGAAAAATAATAACCAGTCATTCATCATACCTAAATTTCTTGAGTTATACAGCTCCGAGGGATCTCAAATTTGGATATGTTGTAGTTCACAAGCTGAGGAACAACTTCAATGAAGAAAGCATGCTGATCTGAGCAAGAGAAAATAGAGTTTCAAAGCTCACAACAAATCTGACGGGTTGACAGACAAATGATAAACAGTCACTCATCATACCTGGATTTCTGGAGTTATACTGCTCCGAGGGACCTCAAATTTGGATATGTTGTAGTTCACAAGTTAAGGAACAACTTCGATGAAGAAATTATGTTGAGATGAACAAGAAAAAATGGAGTTTAGAAGCTCACAACAAGTCTGACGGGTTAACAGAAAATTGATGAACAGTTACTCATCATACCTGAATTTCTGGAGTTGTACTACTCTGATGGATCTCAAATTTGGAGATGTTGTAGTTCACAAGATAAGGAACAACTTTCATGAAGACTACTTTGCGATCTGAGCTATAGAGAATGGTGTTATCTTGCATCCACTCAGGCTGATTAGTGGAAACGAAAAGCAATTCCACCAAAGAAAAGATGAAAAAGAGAGAAAAGCTACTAATTGCACTTGATCTTGTCTAGTCAATAGCATGCAGCATCAAACACACAAAAGTTGGAAATATTTTTAGACAAGGCATATGCGAATGTGTGACATCGAAACAAGGATTCGTTACTTTGACAAATTAGTAACAAGCGAGACACCTCATTCGGCAACTCTCTTCGCCTGAAGACTTGGGGGACTCCCACCATATTGCTACTGCACCTTAATACTCGGCAGTCTCACAACCACTCAGTGACTTGGATTTTTCAAGTCTCCAACCGAGAAGTTTTCCTCACTCGGGAAATTAAGGGAACACTACCTCAAACTACATGCTTCACTCACAAAGCTTCAACAATACAGGTTTCAACAAAAGCAAAAATTCAAAGAACTTTATGAAGAAGGCTTTGGTGTATTTAACACAATATATTGAAATGAAGCAAAGCTTATTTATTAATATTTTTCGATAAGCCACAAATATGTACATATACATGAGTCAAAATAAACAAACAAAAGGGAGCCTTCACAAAGGTTGCTTAGGGGAAGTCTCAGCAGTCGGTAGAGCCCCAGAAAGAGAAAGCACCGGAGGGTGGTTATCCGGAGCCTCAGTACTTGACAAAACCCCAGAAGGAGAAGGCATTGGAGGTTCATCATTTGAAGCTTCATTACCAGGTACAGCCCCAGAGGACGAAGGCAATAAATGCCTTTGGAACAAACCCACAAACCGCTGATGATCAAGTAAAACCTTACCATCAGATTCCTTCATCTGGTCAAGCTTCCTCTTCATGTTTGTAGCATAGTCATGGGCGAGCCGGTGCAACTGCTTATTCTCATGCTTGAGCCCTCTAATCTCCTGTTTGAGACTCATCACTTCAGCAGCCAATGATTCAACTTGACGGGTTCTAGCAAATAGGCGTTGGGCCATATTAGACACAGAACCTGCACACTGAACACTAAGAGCCAGAGAGTCCTTAACAGCCAACTCATCAGACCGTTTGGAAAGTAGTCTGTTATCTTTGGGAGTGAGAAGGTTCCTGGCCACCACTGCAGCGGTCATATCATTCTTCATCACAGAATCCCCAACGGTAAGAGGACCAGTAGGGGATATGAAGGATGGGCGCCATATGTTGTCTGGAGAAGGCGTGGCTGTCTCTTCTCCAAGGTTCAGGTCAAAACGACGGTCGGAGGGTCCAGACATTTTCAAATGTGTTGAAGAAGGAAGAGGTCAGACAAATCAAGATCTTAGAAGTGCAAGAAATGAGCTTCTACTGGTAGAGATTCAGGTGTGCTGTGGAACTTAATGCCAGCCTCTATAAAAATCTGCACTCGACGGAGCTTCAGAAATCGAAGAGGCGTTTGCTTTCTCAAAAGCTGGGCTGCTCAGAGACCACGAGGGCCGATCTCAGAAATCGAAGAGGCGTTTGCTTTCTCAAAAGCTGGGCTGCTCAGAGAACACGAGGGCCGATCTCAGAAATCGAAGAGGCGTTTGCTTTCTCAAAAAGCTGGGCTGCTCAGAGACCACGAGGGCCGATCTCAGAAATCGAAGAAGCACCTGCTTTTTCAGCCTCGTCAGCACCTGTCACATGCACAATCAGCTTTGCGGAAATTACGGGCAATCTGTCGAAAATTTCTGGTGAAGTAAAAAGCACGTGAATCTTACTGTTCAATCACCGCTCTCCATATGCACCATCAACTCCTCGGGTACCACATATAACTTTGTCAAAGATCTCTGACAAAGTTTAGGCACGAGAAATTTCGAAGTTCCAGCTACCCTACTATTACCCATAAGGGTAAAGGAACAGCACCACTGCTTGACAACTGGAAAGTCCCTATGTGTGTCGACCTCCGTGTTTTGCGGCAAGACAGGTTGGCAAGAACGTCCAACCTTTACTCACATTCGAGAAAAGACTCCCAACATAATTACTTTTCTCAAAAACCGGAGTAGCACCGCTTTCCGAATCTCGAGAGTCAGATCCTCGACGGGATTGCTTGTTCGAAACCGAAGAGGCACAACTCTCAGAACTTCGAGAGCCAGATTTCCTTAGATAAAGCTTGTCTGTAATCTTCACACGTAATATCAGCTTTCCAGATACCACATACCACTTTTTCAAAGTGCTCTGACAAAATTAAAACACGTGAAGCTGGCAACTCCCACTACATTGCTGTGACCAAGAAGGGTAAAGGAATAGCATTACTACTTGTTATTGGGAAATCCCTATATACATTGACCTCCCTCCTCAACGGACAGGCAAACCTGCAAAAATGCTCAACCCTTTCTCGCATTCGAAAAGGCACCCTCAACATAAACTCTCGAAATACTCAGCTTTATTTCCCCCCGATAATACCTCAGCAAATAAGCCACACCAAGAACAAGAGTATCTCATATCATCAGGGTCGAAAGCAAGAGTATCTCATATCATGCTTTCTCCCTATCTTTGTCTTTGTCCTTGTCCACACCTGCAGGACAAGGAGAAAGAGAGCAGTCAGTCGGAACCTGAAATCAAACCTCCAATTTGGAACTGACTGCCTGAAGCCTTTGCCTGGTTGCTTACTTAGCATTGCTCTCGAGTACTCATCCTCAACTGCTGTCAAGGTCACGAATTCCACCGGCAAATACCTCATGACAGTTGATCAGATATTGGCTCTTTACACTGAAGCTGCCAAGCGTGGATGAGTCACTATGAAGGAATGTTCTGAAGGACCATTTAAATGCAAAGGTTGCACACCACTTCTGCCATGCAAAAGATTGAAGCAGAAGGTTCAACGGTGAGTTGATACAGATCACTACAGCACGACACCTTTCCATACCACATTCATTATTCTGTCAACAACAAAAGTATCCCATATCATCAAGGTCGAACATACTCTAGATTTGATGGACTTGTTTTGACCCTCAAATTTTTGAGTCGGCCTTATACTCTGAAGGGCACCAGAAAACCCTCCAGCACAGTTCAAGAATAAGCCTGTGGAAAGTTACTTCTTCAAAAGCAAAAGTATCTCATATCATCTCTTATCCATTTGCTTCTCCTTATCCTGGCAGTTGAATGAGAGACAAGGAGAAGGAGAACAATCAACCGGAAGCCGAAGTCAAACCTCTGATCCTGGGTTGCTTACTTGGAAGTTTGACTGCTTACCTTGTCTGTCACCTCTTTCGGCAGATCTCTCTAGCTCGGCGACTTGGGGGACTCCTACTATAGGGTTTGTATCACACTTGACTAAGCCCGAAACTACAACTAAGCTTCAAGTGAAATTGATACATTACCTTGTGCGTCAACATCAGCTAAATACACCATTCCCGGATGGAGGAAAGGTACTTCCAGAGAAGGGCAGATGAAGATCAGACCACACTTCGGTACTTAGAATTTCGTGATTACTCAAGGGATTGGATCTTGCAAGTCCCCAACCGAGGAGTTTCCCTCACTCGGGAACTTAGGGGAGCACTGTTTGTACCATACTTGACCAATCCCGAAACGAAACTACCGAGCACCGGCCAACGCTATACTGTCAAGGACCCAGAAGAGTTCCCCTCCGACCAGGAGGCCAATCACTACTCGACACGTGTCAAGATTAGAAGCCAATCAGAGCGCAGCACGTGTCGACATCAAGAACCAATCATAACATGACACATGTCAATGTGACAAAGCTACAAGTTTTTCTATAAATAGGGGTCATTCCCCCACAATATTGCCTAATGCCATTTGTGTTAAATCATTCACAAGAACTCACTAAATTGAGAGCTTGATCCCTTGTACTTGTGTAAGCCCTTCACTACTAATAAGAACTCCTCTACTCCGTGGACGTAGCCAATCTGGGTGAACCACGTACATCCTGTGTTTGCTTCTCTGTCTCTATTCATTTACGTACTTATCCTCACTAGTGACCGAAGCAACCAAGCGAAGGTCACAAAACCTGACACTTTCTGTTGTACCAAAGTCTTCGCTGATTTTGTGCATCAACATAAACTATATTTTAAACATGATAGTTCAAGCAAATTCTGAACATGTTTCCACTTCCACACAAGCAAATTCTGAATAGCTGCTTCTCCTGCATGGAAGTAAAGCCACTCAAAATTTTCTGCAATCACGGCAGCTCACTCAGCCGTCTGAGACGCTTACATTTGTGCCGTTCCGGCGGTTGAATCTTGATGCCAAGATTCTGAATCAAATCTGCAACATTTTACGACAAGAAGGTTGCCATAAGGAGAATAGCATGAGCGTATATAACAACTCGAACTTGTAGAACTCACTATTACTATAAGCAAACATGAACCGAAGAACAAGCATTTCAGATGGAATGGAATCCTAATTACGCAAGCTAAACACTTTATTCCTAGGAGATAGCAAATGCTCTCGAAAAACTAACTACAAAACCAGTCGGAAGTTACACTAGTAACAACCAAACCAAACTATAACCGAAAATTTTGTAAACGACTGAGAGAATACATAGAAAAATACAAGAGCAATGGTAGTGGAACACGAGCATAACGATATGTAGTCGATTTTCAAGAAACTTACCAGGGATCTTATCTGAAAAACCAAGTGTCCGGTGTGAGTTTAGAGCCATTTCATCCAGATAAATCATCCCAAAAAGCTTCACAATCTCATCTTTGTTAAAGGCAGAAAGCAATTCATATGTAGATATAAACTGCAAAAACCCCAAAATCTCAAAGGAATTTTCAGAATCAGCTCTCAATTTTGCCTTCCACTGGACTGCTAGCTCTTTAGCATCTTTTTTCACATCAGATCCAACAAGAGGTGTGACTTTTGCTAGATCAATCAACAGGGAAATGGTATTCTCCATGACAACTGCTCCAAGACCAACATCTCTGTTCCCCCAGCATTGATCCAAATGAGTTTTCATCAACTTGAAAGCAAGTTTTTCCGGGTGCAATGACATTTGTAGGGCAACAAACATTTCATTCTGCATTGGTGGGTTACCACTTGAATGCTCGTTTAGAGAGCCCTGCATATTTGTTGCATCTGTAGTGGCACTAGGTTGAAGATTTGGAGAAGATGAAGTAAGTACATTTCTAACCGGTGAAGATTCTGGTTCCTCAACTTTGACGGGGAAAGAAATGCTGTTGCTCGCTATGTGATTGCAAGAAGAAACCAAGAAAAGGATAAATAAGAAGAAAACTTGCTAAAAACCTTTAACAACACAGTAACAAAATAGGGACAAATAAAACTATTTACATTTTTTAGGCCAGCAAAAGGGAGAGAGTATTTACTTACATAACTTTAAAGCTCCAAAAAATCTTTGCAGAATATAAAATTTTTAAAATTTCTTTATAAACCATTTCTTGAAACAACATCTTAAAGTAAATGAGTAATCTGGTAATCTACAACTCTAAATGAAAAAGTATAGAGAGCTTACCGGGTGCCTTGTTTGTGGTCTTAAGTGCCTGGCATAACTCAGTTGCTTGTCCATGCTGAGCCACGATAGCGAGAAGACTATGAACCTCCTTTGGATCACAAGCAGTTGTGATGTCATACACAGTAACAAGCTTCAAAAAGCCCAAAACCTCCATATCATTCTCGCTTGCCATCGTCATCTTAGCCTTCCAATCAGCTGCCAAATTCAATGCATCTTCTCTCACCTGAGGACTTATTTGTGGTGAGAATATCTTCAACTCCTGTAACAAAAGAATACAACTCCTCCTAATAACTCTCAAATCATAATCAGACGTCTCTGAGTTGTATCCAGTCAAATTTGAAGGATAAAACCCTTGCATTGCATTCAAAACTAGTTTTGCTGGGTCAGATGACGCCTGGAGAACAGTTGAGATTTCAGTGCCAACTAAATCAATTCTTTTCAAATGCTCATTCATGAGCAACTGCAAGCCTCTTCCATCCCTATTGATAATGGTAGCAGGGGTACATAGCAATTGCTGATCATTATCCACTTCAGGATGGACATTAGTCTTCTCCTTGGATTTCAGGTTTTGGATGTGTTCCTCCGTGGATTTTCTAATCGAATCAAATTCTTTCTGTTTCGATTCAAGCTCTTTGACTTGTTCTAGGAGTTGCATCTCTCTCATTTAAGTCCATGTGAACTTTCCTGTAACAAATTTTCTTGTGAATCCAAATGTTGTTGGCGTTCTTGAATCAGTGAATAAGATTGTTTTTGTTTTGATTCAAACTCTTTGACTTGTTCTTCAAATTGCCTCTCTTTCATTTGGAGTCCATGGGAACGTTCTTGCAACCATTTTTTCTGGGAATCCAAATGTCGTTGGTCTCCTTGAATCATCGAAACAAAAACATTTTGATTTGACTCAAACTCTTTGACATGTTCTTCAAGGTTCCTCTCTTTCATTTCAAGTCCAGTGGAGAATTCATGTAACAACTTTTCCTGTGAAATGAATTGCTTCTGGCTTTCTTGAGCCATTGCATCAAATTGTTTTCGTTTCAACTCGAGCTCTTTGGCCTGTTCTTCAACTTGCCACCATTTCATTTGAAGTTCATGGAAACAGTCTTGTAACAACTTTTCTTGTGAATCCAAATGCTTCTTGTGTTCATGAACCATCAAATCAAACTGTTTTTGTTTCAACTCAAGCTCTTTGGCCTGTTTTTCAAGTTGCTTCTCTTTCATTTCAAGTCCGTGGGAACTTACTAGTAACATCTTTTCTTGGGAATCCAAACGTTGTTGTCGTCCTTGAATCATCAAATCTAACTGTTTTTGCTTTGATTCAAACTCTCTGATCTGATCCTCAAGTAGCCTATCCTTCACTTCAAGTGCACAGGAACGCTCTTGTAACGAACTTTCTTGTGAATCCAAATGCTTTTGGCGCTCCTGAATCACCGAATCAAACTGTTTTTGTTTCAAGTCAAGCTCTTTGGCCTTTTCTTCAAGTTGCCTCTTTTTCATTTCAAGTCCATGGGAGCCTTCTGTTAACATCTTTTCTTGTGAATCAAAATGTTGTCGGCGTTCTTGAATCACTGAATCAATTTGTTTTCGTTCCAACTCAAGCTCTTTGGCCAGTTCTTCAATTCTCTCTTTGTTTTCAACTCCACCGGAACATCCTTGCAACGACCTTTCACGCGAATGCAATTGCTTTCCTTCCAATTGAACCTCATTCAGGCATTCAGTGACCGTGCTATCAACCAAACCGAGTTTCTCAACTTGTCTCCGTCTAAATTCGAGCTTATCAACCAATCCTTCAAGTTCCCTCTTTTTCGCTGCGAGTTTACGGGTCCTCTTCTCCATTGCCCCGATGACTTCTTCTTTCGATTCGAGTGTATTACAGCATTCCACCATTGATTTCTGAATGAGACCAAGTTTATAGTTTTAAACTCAACCTCTTTTCCTTTCTCCTCTGCCAAACTCTCGATTTCCTGCAATTTTCGGGCTTTCGCTTCCACTTCCAAGTTAAAGTTTAAAACTTTAGCTTCCCATTCCTTCTCCCGGTCCTCAATCTCTCGGTTTCGGGTCAGAAGCGAGTTCCGTTCCGAGTCAAAGTAGTCCTGGAGCTCTTGGAATCGGGTCAGGAGCTGCACATTCCGGGTCGAACCGTCAGAACCCAAAACCTCCTTCCATTGCTGGGCAAGATGGCTCTGCTTCAACTCCCTTTTCTCCATTGTTGCGCTTCTGTCCCAAACAAAGAAAAGAAACAAAACAAAAACCCCAACTGTTACGACCTCCATGGCGGATGAAATTTGAAGAAAAAAAATGAGAAACCCTAAAACATAGAAGGTGCATTTGCAAATTTCCTAAAAAAAATTATCAGAAAAAAAAAAAAAAAAAAAAAAACCTGAACGGATACTGAGATACTGGAAGAGAATGTGAGCGGGAAGTATAATACGACGGCGTAGTGACTTACCTGTGTTGGGGATTTCGAATTTGCTCTTGAATCGACGGCTATGGCGGAAGGAGGCCGCCAAAGCTTGGAGCTTTGAGCTTCTTCTTCTTCAACACTCCAACGTTCAGTAGCACGCACAGGTGCTCTACGCATTTGTTTCATACAAATTACATCTGGGCCGTTAGTTTAATGATTGCACAAAGCAACGGACAAGATTCAAGCTAACCAGGATCATGCCAATATGAATGAGTCTTATGTCCGTACGGCTAGTTGCCACGTGTCTAGGTTTTTCCCGCTTTGGCCTGCAATCAGAAAAATCGTCCGTGCGGACCACGCTACCACAACCACAAACAAAGCCAATCAACCGTGAGATTCGCACCGTTCAAGAGAGACGAGGATCCAGACCCTTCAATTTTGTAAAGTGAGCTAGTACGATAGATTAATGGGTGCCGTAAAATTTGAAATAAATGGTTCGAATTACTTAGTTCATAATCCACACCAACCTGTTCTAACTAATACCAACGTAGAAATGCCCGCTTGTTTGTATCTGATGCCAGCTGGGCTCGTCGTGCTTGTGGAAAAAAATTATCTCCTAAGATGGTTTAATTTGATCTGTTTTGAATTTGGGCTTAATTAACCTCTTTCTATTTAGTGGGATTACTTGGTCTTTACTTAAAAGGAAAAAAATGATATAATAATGGTCTTATATATATAATATATATATATATATACCAAATTTGGATTAGAACATTATGTTCCTCCTATTTCTGCATTCAAGTTTAAATCTCCATATTTCGTAATTAGATGAATTTGGTGTTGAATATCGGTTGTATAGAAAAAAAATCCCCCCCTTTTTTTTTTTGAAGAATCCTCATATTTAAGTTTTAAAGTACATAGAAATTGATTTAGAATTTCATATCAGCAATCAAATATTTAGCTAAAAGAGTGTGTGTGTGTGTATATATATATATGTATATATATGTATGTATGTATGTATATAAGAATTAGTCAAGACATTTCCTTTCATGTATCTCTCAAGGTTTTGCAACATAATCTGTTTCCACAGAGAAACAATTCTACCTTGAAGTCAGTCAAACAAACTGCTCCTCCCAAATGCAAGGCAATGCAACTCAAAAGAAGGCAGCTGACAACAACCTATCAAACTTCGCAATTAGCAGGTAACTAGAGGCTAATACTACGGTCGAGGTTTTCGGTTTTACTATGCACACGAGTCCATCAGGCAAGCCGTTTGAGGCGCTTGCAGTTACGCTCTTCAGGCGGTTTGATCTTGAAGGATACAAGGTTGGTATTTGGTTTCTTCCCTTTCTCCTGCTCTCCTTCACCCTTGGAGCCAACAACTGGAACCGAACGTCTCCAATCCAACTTGTGCTTTTCCAGCTTAACTATCTCTTTTTCGATGTCCTTGTATGGGAATTCTGACTCGCGGTGATTGTCTTTGATGCAATGAATCGCAGCGCTCAGATCAGCTATTTGGTTGTCTACCACCACATTCTGTGAACAAAATTAAGGCTTGAAATTTGTATATTTGTATCGAAGAGGGTAAATGATCCCGAAATTAACTTTTTATGAAGCAGCAGCTATTGGAAGTCCAAAGATGTATGTACCCTTTCATCAAGTGATCTTTTTACCAGCCATTTTGTGCAGTAAGACTGCCTTGCACCTTCCACATATTCTTTTAAGTATTCTTTTAAGAGTGGTACCGGAGGGAACCTGGCAGATAAGTTGAAGCCGCAAATCAATCTAACAGCTTCAATCAGTTGCTTCCTTTCAATGAGATCTTGAACAAAATCTGCAGCATTTAAACAAAATTGACGGATTCATCAGATCAAACAGCTCCAGAGAAGCTCCGTAACGAGAATTGCAAATTATAATCCATCCTCAATGAAAATTCAGTCTAGCCTGTAAATAATCTCTTTCTAAGCTTCATGTACTCTTTCATGATAAGTTATATTGACCCATGAAGTTTTCCATCGATCATCTTCGAGCCATTTGCAAATGTTAGACCAATTAAATCCCGAAGGCAGTATAAAACCGGCTCAAACCTATCGCCCTAGCACAATGGACACAGGAATCGCATCTAGGACACTCAGATACAATCAAATATAGCCAAAATTGGTAAACTACCAACAGAAACAGATAAGAGCTTTGGTTCTGGAACAAAACACCACACTATGAATCAAGAGACTTACCAGGGATCATATCTGCAAAACCAATTGCCTGGCATGATTCCAAAGCCTTTTTGTGCAGACAAATCGTCCCAAGAAGCTTTACAATCTCATCTCTGTTAAAGGTAGAAACCAATCCATATGTAGCTATAAAGTGCAAAAACCCCAAAATCTCAATTGAATTTTCAGAATCAACTCTCATTTTTGCTTTCCACTGGACTGCTAGCTCTATTGCATTTTTTTTAACATCTGGCCCAATTTTCATGGAGACTTCCGTTAGATCATTCAACAGGGAAATGCTATTCTCCATGACAGCTGATTCACAGCCAACATCTCTTTTTCTCCAGCATTGAGCCAAAGATTCTTTAATCAACTTTAAAACAAGTTCTGCTGGGTCCATTGACATTTGTAGATCAAGAAGCATTTCGTTCTGTACGGACTCTTTCTCACTTAAATGCTCATCTGTAGAGCCCTGCAAATTCCTTGTATCTGTGGTTGCACTCGGTTGAAGATCCAGAGGAGATAAAGCTGCGACATTTATAAGTTGTGAAGATTCTTGTTCCTCAATTTTGATGGGGAAAGAAACGCTGTTGCTAGCTGTGCAATCGCAAGAAGAACAAAGAAATGGATTATTTGACAATTGTGCTTTACTGAAGACTGAAGACTTAAGTGGTATGTCAGACACCAAATTGTGTTATGTGCAAATTGGAGACAGAGGCTGCCTAAACCATCAAACAAGAAGAATTTGCAAAACTCCAATAACAAGATCCGGGATGAAACGGTTCAAAGCAAGAGTATGTGCGGCACCAGACACCTTCACTAAGATACTTAAACGATAAATGAGAAGACAACATGACACAGCAGATCGAAATCCTTAGACAGTTATAAAAGTGGGACAAGTAAAACTGATTACGTTTTTTTCAGGCCAGCAAAAAGGATTAAGTAATTACTTCGAAAACTTTAAGGCTCTATCCTCTACATGATATAACAACCACTTGTTATATTAAATGAATAAACAGATAACATAAATAAAACCGAAAACCAGGTGCCTTACTTGTGATACCAAGGGCCTGGCATAGCTCAGTTCCTTGCTCATGCTCAGCCACTGTACCAAGAAGACTCTGAAGCTCCTTTGAATCATAAACAGTTGTGATTTCATAGACAGCAACAAGCTCCAAAAAACCCAAAATCTCCAATCCATTCCCAGTCGCCGCAGTCATCTTACCCTTCCATTCAGCTGCCAAAGCCCTTGCTTCTTTTCTCACCTGAGGGTTGATTTGTGGTGAGAATCTCTTCAACTGCTGTAACAAAAAAATACAACTCCTCCTAATAACTGTCAAATCAAAGGCAAACTCAGTGGTGTCCACTGTCTGATTTGAAGGATAAAACCCTTGCATTGCATCCAAAACGAGCTTTGCTGGGTCAGATGACGCCTGAAGACAAGCTGCGATTTCGCCACATACAAGATCAGTTCTCGTCCAATTCTCATTCATGAGAACCTGCAAGCATTTGCCATCCCTGGAACAATTAGTCTTCTCCTTGGATTTCAGGTTTTGGATGTCTTCCTTGGATTTTTGCAGCGATTCAAATTGTTTTTGTTCTGATTCGAGCTTTCTGACCTGTTCTTCAAGCTGCCTCTCTTTCATTTTAAGTCCATGGGAACCTTCTTGTAACAACTTCTCTTCAGAATCCAAATGTTGTTGGCGTTCTTGAATCATCGAATCAAATTCTTTTTTATTCGATTCAAACTCTCTGACCTTTTCTTCAAGTCGCCTTTCTTTCTTTTCAAGTCCGTGGCAACCTTCTTGTAACAACTTTTCTTGCAAATCCAAACATTTTTGGCGTTCTTTAACCATCAAATCAAATTCTCGTTGTTTAGATTCAAACACTCTGACCTGCTCTTCGAGTTGCCTCTCTTTCATTTCGAGTCCATGGCAACGTTGTTGCAACAACTTTTCTTGTGAATCCAAATGCTTCTGGCACTCTTGAACCATCAACTCAAATTGTTGTTGTTTCAACTCCACTGCCCTGATGCTTTTCTCTTTGGATTCGAGTGTACGGTAACATTCCCTTATCGATTTTTCAACGGCACCAAGTATCGTCCTTTTCGATTGAATCTCCTTATGACATTCTTCGAGAGATTTATGCGCCGCTTTAACCTGCTCTTGTTTCGAAACAAAATCTTTCATGACATCGTCAATAGACCCCTTAATCGCATTTAATCGCCTTCCGTTCAACTCAGCGACCTCCTTCTTCATCTTCAGCTCTCTCGACTTCTCATCCAAACTTTTCACAACCGAATTCAATTTCTCCGTTCGCTCTTCGATATCATTTTTTATCAAATCACGTTCCCTCTCCTTCTCCCTAACCGATTCCTCGTTTTCCAACAACCATTTTTCCTTACTACCAACCTCTCTTCTTTTCTCTTTCGCCAATCTCTCGATTTCATACAATTCCTGAGCTTTAGACGCCATTTCCGAGTTAAAGTTCAAAACTTTGGCCTCCAACCCCTTCTCGCGCTCCTCAACCTCCCGCTGCCGTGTCTGGAGCGAGTTCCGCTCCGAGTAAAAACGGTCCTGGAGCTCCTCAAACCGGGTCTTGAGCGAGTCAAAGTGGTCCAAGAAGTGTTTCCACTGCAGGGCCAGATTCCCCTGCTTCAACTTCGGTTCATCCGAACCGGACACGATCGTTTTCATCGCTGGCGTCTCTGCAACTTCTGCAAAAAAAAAATATAGAAATAGAAACCCTAATTTCTGAAATACGACGCCGTATGAAAATGCAGAGCGAAAAACGATAAAACCCTAAAGTGCCTTGGTGATCAGAGAAGGTACATTTCCAATTTTCTCAGAAACAAAAACCCCCAAAACAGAGGAGGTGAAATGTTGAACCAGAATGTGAGAGAGAGAGAGAGAGCTAAAAT